GAAATACAATGCTTTAAGCACCACTTAGTGGGCTGTACTGGTAGGAACATAGAATATTTGAACTGTGGAAACACCTGACTCAAGAAGTTACAGAGACGAATTTTAGTATGTTGTCCTGAGATCCTTGTTGTGATATTTTAGTGAAGAACGTGGCTGCTTTTTGCCCATGTCCAAAGAGTCTGTCTAAGCCTAAAGTAAAGAGATTTGGATTGATTCTGTTGGCAGAGGAAATCTCAAAATAGCCTAGTATAGACTCTGTCATGTGGTTATTAGTGATAACTTTAATGCAGATATATAATGAAAAGAAGCAAGCTGAGCAAGGGAAACCACAAAATGTACAATTTGAGGAGAAAAGGAGCACCAAGAAGTGGAATGGAGTTAAGTCCTGTGTTCAAGGAGATAAAAAGACTAAAAAAATCAAATAAAGGAGTGGTGACTTTAGGGCAAGATCCCACCCAGCTAAGTTTCCAACTTGTAAAAAGGAATTAAAGAAAAGCTTAGATCTAGATGTGGTGACACACACCTTTAAGCCAGCACTCCAGAGGCAGAGGCTGGCAGATCTCTGGGTTTGAGGTCAGCCTGGTCTACACATACAGTTACAGAACAGTCAAGCTTAAGCAGTGAAGGAAACCATCAATAAATGCTGGTGAGTTGCAACTGAACAAGGAGGCCATGTTTCAGCCTTTGAGAATAGCAGAACTTGGTAGCTTTGATCACATGGTTCTGGCTTTAGAGTCAAGGCAAGAAGAAAGAGGTTATGGAATCTCCCTCCTCAGCTAAGAAAAGATCCTGAGACCAGGCATGTGTCAAGGATGTCCCTGAATGGAGGTCTATGGAGGCCACTTCATGAAGCTACGAAGGTTAAGTCTGAATTGCCTTGGAGACCCCAAGATACTAGAGATGCCAGAGCCATGGGATACCTGTCAAGGAAAACTACTAACAGGGAGTGGAACCAGCCCAAGATTAAAAAGTGTGTTACAGCCAACAAAGCTGAAAGGAAGTGGAAATCTGAAGAGCGCTTTGACATCAGACATGGGAATGCAGAGTTTTGTGTTTGCCCAGCTGGTTTTCAGTCTTGTTCTGTCCAGTATTTTCTCACTATGCTCCCTCTCTTACATTTTGTAACAGTAATGTATATCCTATGCCATTATATGTTGGAAGTACATGATCTGCTTTTTGATTTTGATTTTATAGGGATTACAGTTAAGAGACTGCATGAATCTCAGAAGAGACTTTGATCTTTAGACTCTCAAATAAGTTTGAGGCTGTTACAGACTATGGGGACTTCTGAAGTTGGACTGAAAGCATTTCTGTATTATGATATTGCTACAAGCCTATGGGGACCAGGGAGAGAAATGTGGTAGTCTGAAAGAAAATGGCCCCCATGGAGTGGGGGGAACCATTAGGAGGCATGGCTTTGTTGGTGTAGGTATGGCCTTGCTGGAGGAATTATGTCACTGTGGGGATGGGCTTTGAGGTCTTCTGTACTCAAGCTGTGTCCAGTAACATAGTTCACTTCCTGTTGTCTTCAGGATCAAGATGAAAAACTAAGCTTCTTCTCAGGTACCATGTCTATCTATATGCCACCATGTCCTGCCATGATGATAATGAACTGAACCTCTGAAACTATAGGCCAGCCCCAATTAAATGTTTTCCTTTATGAGTTGCCATGGTCATGATGTCTCTTCACAGCAATAGGAAACTTAACTAAGACAGTATCCTCAAGCTTCTATCTTGATTACAAAATAATGAGTTTCACTTATTCTGATCTGCTTTTGTTCTTCCTTCCATATAAGTTACTGGTGTGTTTTCAAAGTGAATGGCTGGTCTCATGGTGATTGCTAGCCTACAGTTATAGTTTCATTTCTGCTCCTTTGGTAAAATACCCCGACAAAAAGCAACTTAGAAGAGAAAGGATTTGTCTGTTTTACCATTCCAGGTTACAGTCTGTCATCATGATGAAGTGAAGGCAGGAACTGCAGGCAGCTAGTCACATGACATCCAAGAGCAGAAGATAGGCAATGAATGCCTTTATGCTTGCTTGCTTGCCTGCCTGTGCTCTGCTCCATGTCTCAGGAACCCTGCCTAGGGAATGATGCCACCCTTGGTGGACTGGGTCTTCTCATACTAATTTAATTAATACAACCCTCCACATGCATGCCCACAGACCAATCAAATGCAAACAGTCCCTCAGTGAAGCTTTCTTCCCAGTTGATTCCTGGTTGTGTCAACTTGGCAATTAAAGTTAACCTTCGTGCCTGGATTTTTTTTCCCTGGGTAATTAGAACTGTCCACAGATTGGTGGCTTTCGGTTCCACCTGCAAAGGAGACTGGGTGTCAGGTGGTCTCATAGTAAGGGATCCAGCAGTTCACGCCTCTGTGTTCAGAGATTAACAGGCAAGACAGTATTTTAGGCAAGTCTGACCATAAATACAAACCACACACTCTAAACTTCAATATTACCAGTAAGAACTGACACTTTTACCTTTGTTTTATTCTTCAGTTGGCTTCTCCACTGATTCCAAACTCCGTAGAAACTTATGGAGTGAGAGCAATCACAAGCCAAAACCCCAACAATTAAGGCATTGATTGAGGAGCCAGACATAATAGAGCTGGGGAATAAACATAGCACAGGGGTATCTGGTGCTCATGTGCAATGGGGACAGGCTCTGTACTCTCACAGCCACCTAGCCTTTGACCACTGAGAGACACTTCAGCTTTCGTGGTTGTGGGCAAATTGTTAGTTGGTTTTGTTGTTGTTTTTTCTTATGTACTTGGCTGCACATGAGGCGCAAGCTTGGGCTTTAAAAGCACTAGCTTTTGGAGAAACATGCTATGCTTGATAAAGAGACCTGGATGATTCTGGCTTCTTCCAGCATTAAACCACCAAGGAGAAGTTATGCTTACAGAAAGGATAACCACATGGCAGGTCTGAGAAGCTGTGCTATGAGATAGATGGAACGTCCAATAATATTTTACTTCCTTTTATGAGTAGGAAGTAAATATTGAGATTTCATTTCTTCACTTTTCATTTGTTGTCATGATTTTTTCAGTTTTGTCTGCTATTATTATATATTGATCAAATGAACCATTTAAATCTATTGATATGCAGCCAGGGGAGAAACTAGCGGTTATTACCTAGTTGTTGATAATGATCATATAAAGTGGCCTTTTTTAATTAAAAAAAATGTATTTACTTAGAAGCATTCAGAATGTCAACAAAACAGCTGCAATTTTTTTTTGCAATTACAGAGTGGTATTCAGTTAACAGAACAATTATCTTCATATAAACTGCATCAAAGACAACTGAAGATGGAAAAAAAACCAAAACAAAAACAAAAAAGAAAAAAAACCTACCGTGCCCATATATAACTAATTTGTGCTGTTCACCAACAAGAACCTGCTTTAAATTTCCATGCCAATTTACAACCCCTAGACTGTACCAGCAAGGTTAGTGGCTATTGAAAATACCACCAGGACATGGCTATCTAAAGACACATTTGGTAGTGTGTTAACTATACAAAAAAAGACACTGTACAGTTTAAAAACAAATCTTACACAGCCTTAATTTCAATTTTTTTCTTTAAAAGGAGTGAGTTGTGTACAGGGGTTAAATGCTTTATAGACAAAAAAAAAAAAAAAAACTGCGCTAGAACCAACTTATTCATCATCATCTTCTTCATCATCATCGTCTTCCTCCTCTTCCTCATCCTCTTCATCCTCATCCTCATCTTCCTCTTCCTTCTTTTCCTTGCTCTTTTCTGCCTTAACCACCCCCTTTTTCGCTGCATCGGGTTTTCCTTTAGCTCTGTAAGCAGCAATATCCTTTGCGTGCTTCTCCTCCAGCTCGGCAGCCTTCTTTCCGTAGGGCTGCTTGTCCTCTGCAGCAGTGCTGTTCCGCAGCTCTCCTAGTTTCTTTGCAGCATCACCAACGGACAAGCCTGGGTGTTCTCCTTTGATTTTTGGGCGATACTCAGAACAGAACCAGAAGGCCGAAGGAGGCCTCTTGGGTGCATTGGGGTCCTTGAACTTCTTTTTGGTCTCCCCTTTGGGGGGATGTAGGTTTTCATTTCTCTTTCATAACGAGCCTTGTCAGCCTTTGCCATGTCCTCAAATTTCACCTTTTCTTTAGCAGACATGGTCTTCCACCTTTCTAAGCACTTCTTCGAAAACTCTGAGAAGTTGACAGAAGCATCCGGATGCTTCTTCTTGTGTTCCTCTCGGCAAGTTTGCACAAAGAATTCAGATGAGGACATTTTGCCTCTCGGCTTCTTAGGATCTCCTTTGCCCATGTTTAGTTGATTTTCGTCCGCGAGGCACAGAGTCGCCCAGTGCCCGTCCGGCTCGCGCTTGCCCCGACGCTGTCTCTATGGAGCTCAATGTACTGCAATGGCTGTGAGAGCAGGATCCAGACACAGCCTCCTCACTCTCTCCGCTCTCTAAAGTGGCCTTTTTAATATTAACTCTGGACGCAACAGCAGACGAGGACATCATCTTCTCAGCTAATGAAAACTGACTGGGGAAAATGTATGCCTGTGTGTGATGATATGAATAGAACAGCTTTCCTTGCCAATGCCCACCTTATGATCCATTCTGAATATTACATGGTATTGTGATATGCCTCTCTCATGATTGCTTGTTACCCCCATGTCATGGACAAGATATTGAGGAATAGAATTGCATAAATAATTTCCATAAAAACAGAATGAACTGGGATGTGGAAGCAAGATCCAAACCAACTTAGTCTGACTCTAGGTCTGTACACTTCTCTGTGAAGCTTTGGACATAGATGATTATTGTTTTGTCAAGAAATTTGGAAACTACGCATGGAAGAAGGAGGAGGAGGAGGAGGAGGGGGAGGAGAAGGAGGAGGAGGAGGAGGAGGAGGAGGAGGAGGAGGAGGAGGAGGAGGAGGAGGAGGAGGAGGAGGAGGAGGAGGAGGAGGAGGAGGAGGAGGAGGAGGAGGAGGAGGAGGAGGAGGAGGAGGAGGAGGAGGAGGAGGAGGAGGAGGAGGAGGAGGAGGAGGAGGAGGAGAAGAAGAGAAAGAAAGAAAGAAAGAAAGAAAGAAAGAAAGAAAGAAAGAACAGAACATTCTGGGACCTTACCGCTAATTCTTCTGGATATAGCAGCTTCAATCAAGGATGTATGAATGGCACAGAAGCCATGGAAGCAGTGATCTGTGAGCACCCTTCTTCTAGTATCTAAAAGCTGCTCTGTCTGACTCTCTACACAGGATTTAAATTAAGATCCACAGAAACCTTTGCCAGTCCTGAGAATGGGTGCTGGATCCCAGGGTTTGTAGCCGGAGATTCATGGTAGACTTTTGAGACCATGTAGAAAATGCATAGACAGAAAAACCTGGTTGGCAGAAAAGAGAACAAAACAGATGTCTCAATAAGCTCTGAGGTAAACATGGAGTATCTGAAAGACTCATTTTCTCAAGCTTTCCTGGTTATTTCTCTCTCTCCTTTTTCTTTTTAATCCAAGTACTCCAGATAACAGCACTACAACTGTCTTTCTTCCTTCATTATCCAAGGACCACCGCATACCCTTGGAACATAGTAAACACTCAATAAACATTCTCACCACAAAGAAAGGATAAATATTTGAGTCAAAGACTATGCTAGGCTGTATTGATAACACCACTATTCACACATGCATTAAAATATTGCATTGTGCTCTGTAAATACATAAAATTGTTTTTGTCAGTAACAAAATAGGACAATATTTGACTCTGTTTTCTTCTATTTCCAGTGTTGATTTATCTTAGTATCATCAATATGATTCAATATATTTCCTATGAGTTCTGAATTGTTTTAAAAGTTATACCCATGTCCTACTCAACAGTATTGTTCAGAGTACTCAAGAATGTTAGCTATAGCACACATACACACATAAAAAGGATTCATTGAATTGGTTTACACTATATAGTTGGAGCAGTCCAGGTATGGCTGTTTGATACTAGAGAGGCTGAGAACTTAGTTCAGTCCACAAGGATGGGTACCTCAGCAGTTACAGTCTGGTACTGAAGCCCAGAAAGAGAGCTGCTGGTCTTCAGTTCACATTGAAATCCCAACAAAGCTGGTTCTTGCATCAGCAAAGGAATCAGCAGTGGCAATAACAGTGTAGATGAACTGATCAGTAAAAGTAAAGGTCAAACAAGTTAAGAAAAAAGTGGAAAAGCTTTCCTCCTTTCATGTCCTTTTGTGTGGACACTAACAGAACATGCCACACACATTTAGGGTGGGTCTTCCCACACCAGTTAAGGAAGTCAAGACAATCTCCCACAGACAAGCCCATGGGCTGCAGGCTGACCCAATGTTAACAATCCTTTACCAAGACTCTTTCCAGCCAATTCTATGTTGTGTCCAGTTGACTACTAAAGCTAGCCATTGTATCACTTGATGGAGACTTCAAATTAAATTATGAACATGAAAGTGTACCTCCTGCTCTCCATAGGATGCTGAAGACATCATTGACTTCAGGCAGCTAATGTTGCCTTCTGATCTCCACATACTGTTCACACATATCCAAGAACACGCACACACACACACACACACACACACACACACACACACACACACATATATATATGCAACTGCACACATCTGAAACACACACACACACACACATACAACCTAGTTCAAGTCGCCATTAAGTTATGTGGGTCTGGCAATCAGCCTCTAGCTTTGTTGCTCCCATTCAGAGTTCCTCCTCCTCATGCCCCCACACCTGGATCAGCAAGGTATTCACAATCTATTTAAGGCTGAGGGTTGCAGGGTCCACTGTGTCTGTGAAAGAAGGGCAGGAATTGACTCCACTAGGTGCCCAGGAAAGCATGGAAAATTAAAATCGCATTCCCCAAGCAAGTGAGAAAAGCTCAGTGGGCAAAGGATGGCAGGAGTTTATAGGTGCTCAGCCCCTAAATGGGAATCTGTGTGAGCTATGAGCAGAAGGTGCCTCTTGTCAATCATATGGGGCTCCAGATCTGTGCAGAGGGCATCTCGCTTGCTGTAAATGTTAAATGAAGTGATTAAAGACAAAGAGGACATTTTAATTGCCAGAACTGGCCAGCTCTAAAGGGGCTCAAGTTTCAAGTGAATGTGAAGGCTTAATTATGCTTAAAGGGAGAGAGTCACCTGGCATCATAGGCTGAGTTTAGGGAAGCCCAGAGTGAAATAAAGAATGCCAAAAATATAAGACAAAGGAGGAGTGAGATGCCACATGCCAGAGAATAAGGCAGCAGTAACATGGAGAGACCCTAATGTCCTAAAGGGTAGATGAGTCTGCCAGACAGGGGATACTTGGGCAAATTGGTCCATACATATCTTAAGATTTTTCTCCTTCCTCTAGTACAGATATGATTTTTCCTATTTCAGATTCAGAAGTCTGAGTAACTTTTCTCCTTTATATCTCCTGAGGTAAGATTTCAACTTGTCTCCTTTGTCCTTGCCCAAGGACAGATACCACATCAGTGCTGCAGCCAGCCTGGCCCTGTAGGAAATTCCACATAAGGCTTAACAGAGGCAGCCCAGGAGGGAAAAGGAAAAACAACCAGTGTTGGGGGTGTGCCATGAATTATTTTTTTCATTCATTAGTATTAGTCCCTCATCAAAACTACAGTTTACACAGAATTAAAACCTTGTTCTATGTTTTCTTCCTTCCTGATCTATTATCATGTAAATTGGAATCTCACACCTGTGAGGTGTGTCTAGAGAACTTCACAGCCTCATAGATTGTTGCTGTATAAAACTCTCCACATCCATGGGATGTGTTTCCTATCTCATACAGAGAGTTGGCAAGGCTTCTCACTGGCCAATGCATTTACTAGAATTCCCTACTCTGCCACATATTGAACTTAGATAAGCTAATTGGTTAGCTTCAAAATTGAAAGCAGGATCTAAGTATCAAGATTTCTAGTCCATATATTTTCCCCCAGCAAGTAACCTCACATAACAACACTGGGGTTTTGCTTAATTTCTAAAAACCTGTGCATGGTCAAAGTGATCCTAAATGGATTTTTTTAAAATCACATTCCACTGTTTTTCTACTTTGAGGTTGACTGTTAGCTCTACCCTAGAGGTGTTTAGAAGTATGGAAAAATTATCAATTTACTGATTTTCATATTTCTTTATTTCTATGGCCAGCCAAGGCCAGCTGAAATCACTAGATGGTATTAGGATAACCCAACAGTTGTAGTTACAGTTACAAGTTGCCATCTCCTTCATTTGCCCAATGTATCGGTTGTCTCTCATAGCAAAGGGGCTAAGGAATAAAACTGCCCTCACACAGAGCTCCCTTCTTTCCCTTACACATACTTCTTGCCAGCAGATTAATTTGTAAACACCACCCAACCACAGGACACAAAAAGTCTAGAAGAGGTTTACTTTCATCTTGACATATGTGGAAACCAAGGCAGAAGTCACTTTGTAAGGGGCTTTAAGGACCACTGCCTGGTGGGCAGCCTATTTGTACTTCCCGATCTCACTTCGACATGAGAAGAAGAATGGCTGTTCTCTTTCTCTCTCTAACTGACCCTGCCACCACTTCAGTAGAAACAACATTTGTTTAGGGAGAAAAGGAGAGTGAGCTCCAATGTTCAGTGCTGCTTTCCCTGTGAGTAGGCCTGACAGGAACAGCACCAGCCTGTGAGTGCCCACAGGCTCTTCTGTGTAGTACAAACCATTTATCAACACGTGCCTTCAGGGACAGCTGAGTGGAGGGCTGCAAAAGAGGGAGAAATGACACAAGCTTCCAAACACACAGTGGTTTTCCTCCTTTTTTTTTTACCTTTTCAGTTAAAAGTCCAGAATGTAAAGTGCAGGCCTCATGTAATCAGAGGGCAATGCTTTCCATTTCAAAGCTCTTTTAATCTGAGGACACATTCCACAAATATCTCTTCTCAGGGCATCCCCTCTCCCATCCTATTAATAACACACTAACACTGACTTAAACAGAATGAACTGGAGGGAACCGGAGTGGCACTTGCAAATTCTCTCATTTGTCCTCACAGGTTTGCATTCTGAGCCACCGCTCCAGCTGCTGTGAGCCACAAAGTTCTCTTTTCTAGATGCATACTTGTGGTCCTGCTACTTCCATAAAGTATAATATAGTGTACAAAGCACTTAGCAACCTAGTCCTGCCATGCCCCCATTGCAAACAGTTTAGGGAGAAAGAACACAGCTAACAGATGCTTACCCTAGGAGCTGAGAAGCCTGGATTCACCTCCACTCGTACCTCATTAGAACATGTGAATTCTAGGGGGGGAACACATACTCTGCCCCAGACCCTTGCTTAGTTAGGGCTGAGGTTAAAAGATGAGTGAAGCACCTTCCCTAATACACCCCAGGCCCAAAGCAGGTACTGATCATCTATGTCCTTGAGTGTGGTGCTTAAGCAATATGGGTCTCCTATCTCCTTTCTGAAGAAGAGAAATAATAGCTGGCTCCTCTCTTTCCCTTGCAGACTGAGGTAGTAAACCTGAGCATTTAAGCATTTCTTCACAGATCATTAACTATGATGGGGAATGGAGGGTCATACAAGAAATGGAATTTTTGAGCTAGAAGGAACTAAAGAAATCAACCATTCTAACCTTTTTATATAAGAAGAGAGTCATAGAACAAAAAAATGTTAGGAGCTTCGGTCAAAAATCCATCAGGAATGAAAGCAAAACATCTTTGAAAGACTGAAGTCAGTAGATTAGGGAGACAGACCCATTTATGCCAGTGCTAGAGAGGCAAATGCTCAGGGACAGCAGTGAGGAAGCCTGGGTTCCCATCCTGGTCTATGAGTGAACAGCATCTCCTAACCCCCAGTTGTGCTAGTCACCTCTAAAATGACAATATGGATAGCAAAACCACACAATGGCAGGCACTGTGGTTCAGAGTCCTGCCAATCCGCATTTGAGTTTTCTGCCACATTTTTACTGTGTGCCATGAAGGAAGCTATCTGGGAATAACCCTGAGCCTCAGTTTCTACTTCTGTAAATTGGGCAAAACTCTGTCTTGACAAGGCTGTTAGGACCAAATATGACAAAGCTCAAGAAGAACTCTGAATAGTTGTTCATTTAATTAATGCCCTCCTGTCCTGGATAGCCCTTCTGGCTTTAAAATTCTGTGACTGTGAAATGTCTCCTTAAAATTGGATCTTACATAGTGGGTTGGCTTTACTGCCTTTATACTCTGTAGGATGGGGAGGAGCCATACACTTCTGGAAGTAGAAGATAGACTGCTGATGTGGAAATGTGAAGGCTCACTCAAGGTCACAGCCACTTATTAGCATTAAACAAGTATCTGCTTCTAGCCTGGGGACATTGCTCAAAGCAGTCATCTGTACCCAGAGAGAGAGAGGGGCCCCTT